TAGACCTATATAAAAATTTTATATAATATTTATATAACTTTATAGAACTACATAAAGTTTATAAAAAAATAACTTACCGATGTAAGCGGTAAAAATTTACCAGTTACATTTTGTTTTTTCTAGTGAAACCTCGATTATGTTTCTAAGATCACAGTATAGGTTGTGAAGCAATAATTCATTAGAATGCTATCCACCATATACTATTACGTCACTATTTGAAACTATATAGCATCATTAGTATTCTTATCACTATTGTTTAATTTTACTAGTAATAGAAATCATTACTTACAAAGTACAGATGAATGCTTGATACGTTTATCAACTATCACTTCACTACTATCTACGTTCTATATATAAAATTATGTGAGTATAATTATTGTTTACTATATCAAATGATAATCTCATTTTAACTTTTCAGACCATATTCCATTCACTGTGTTATATACATAAATCAATTGCATCATTAACATAATATAGTGATGTACTTGAAATATTAAAAGGAAATTATATACAATACCTAAGTCATATTATATGGTGCCTGAAAATTAGATTTGCCACCAATGTATAAAATCCTACCATCATTTAAAACAACTGAAGAACATTTTCGTCCGTCAAGGAAGAGCAAGATTAGGATTCCAAAAGGTCCAAGTGCAGGTGGAAGTTCATCACCAGATGTTTGATTAGTTCATATCTACCATAAAGATAAATATTTCCTTTTTCATCACTAACAAAACTAGCACCACGATGTATTTTTTTGTGGTATATTAGCAGTAGTTGGGGCTGACCAAGTTTTATTCATTTTAGTCGAATCAAGCATATATAATAATTTATCCCATTGAAAATCAAATGTTTTTAAATTCTTTACTATTCCACTGTATAAAAAAATTAATGAATTATTTTTTCCACCCAATGAAACATGTGCTTCGTATGATATGATAGGTAGTCCAGTAATATCTTCTCATGGTAGAAATCTAGTATCAAATGATTTCGTCAAATCTAAGCAAATAACTTTGTTCCATTTTGGAAAACTGATACATAATTTGTTATTGATGATTGCACTTGATTGTGAACTGCATGGGTCAGAAGGATCACATATTATTTTTATTATAATGCAATAAAATAATAGAAATATAACTATAAATTTTTGTAAAAAATTCATTGAAATGATAATGTTGTAATGGTCGTAGGGATGATGCTAAAAAAATAAATTCTGCGGTGCTAAAAATAAATTCTGTGGTGCTAAAAATAAATTCTGTGGTGCTAAAAATAAATTCAGTGATGTGAAAATAGTCGACTATTTTGCGCGATTCTATGTTTATATTGTTAGACTCCTTAAATGCAACCCATTTATAACAACTCCATCAATAAATAGCAGGGGGTTGAGATAGGAACGTCCCGAGTACCCTGATCTTGTAGATCGTTATACAATTAATTAAAGTTTTTTTTATACATTTTACAATACTTTTTTTAGAAGCTCGGGTGGCTTATCCTACAAGTAAAGGGGGACAAGTACAA